TTCTCCTTAGGGTCCCTACTGTAGCTCTATATATACATCATTAGGCTCATGGAAGATGAGAACAATCCCAATCCTTGGGAAACGTACAACCCTCTCTCTCTCTCTTCCAAGGAGTAGTTCTATTTCTTGTGCTCCACTGATACAAGATCTAGATAGCTGTTTGAGAATGCAGTAGAAGATCTTAAGGTATATACGGGATTCAAATCAGATCTATCATACATCCAAACCGGAGACCAAAACCAGCAAGTGACCATACCACGACGACCAGGACGACGAGACGAAGAGATCGCCGTCGAGATCGCCGCTAGCCGCCGCCGCACGCGCCGCCACGCGCCGCCGGAAGGGAGCAGCTGCCGGAGCTTACACGAGCGCGTGAGAGCACGTGAGACCTTCGTTTTCCGATCGGACAATGCCGTTGACTTCGCCATGACGTCTGCTTTCTGGATTGGTCAAGTTTGTTCGATTTTGAGAAGATTTGATTTGCGGTCAACTGTTCGGGCCAGCCAGATCTACATAAATTTTAAGCAGTAAGTTTTCTTCATCAAACCTTTAGATCTGCTGCGCATAGGTTTATGTTGAATGTTTGTCCGTGATTTGTGCATATCGAGATCCTCATGGGTTCCAACAGTACCATGTCAGGGATGCTTATACTTAGTAATGTTCCTGTTTTGGCCTTGTTCGATGCTGGAGCGACGCACTCTTTTATTTCACGACGATATCTTGATGCCATCGGAGTTCATGCTATTATCGCTGTCGATCCTCTCGAGGTGAGTTTAGCCTCGGGACGAAAGATAGTGACCACAACTAAAGCTTCAGATCTTAGCCTTTCCATCGGTGGCCGTATATTGTCTACCGACGCGTATGTTCTCGACATGAGGGATTTTGACCTCATTCTCGGTATGGATTGGCTATCCTATTATCATGCAGATAGTCGATGCCATGACCAGGAGATTACTCTTTATCTTCCAGGAGACGATTTGATTACCTTCTTTGGCACTAAGAATCGTTTCTTACCTCATGTCGTTTCCATGGCGAAAGCCACCAAGATGTTGCGACAAGGCAACTGTAAGGGTTATCTTATGAGCCTTATCGATGATTCTCCGAAGGCACGAACAACTCACGACGTTCCTATTGTTCGTGAGTTTGTGGACATGTTTCTAGACGAACTTCCAGGAGGACCGCCTAACCGGCAGGTAGAGTTCTCTATCGATCTCATTCCAGCAGCCGGCCCAGTATCCAAAGCCCCGTACCGTATGGCGCCGAAGGAGTTGCAGGAGCTTAAGGCGAAAATTCCGGAGCTATTACGGCTCGGTTTCATCCGGCCGAGCGTGTCACCTTGGGGAGCACCCGTTCTCTTTGTCAAGAAGAAGGACGGTACCATGCGCATGTGTAACGACTACCGGGAGCTTAACAGGTTGACGATCAAGAACAAGTATCCGCTTCCCAGGATTGATGATTTATTTGATCAACTGAGGGGAGCGTGTGTTTTCTCTAAGATTGATTTTCGATCAGGCTACCACCAGCTGAAAATCAAGGAGTCAGATATTGCTAAGACCTCTTTCCGTACTCGTTATGGCCATTATGAGTTTGTCGTCATGCCATTCAGCCTCAGTAATGCTCCAGCAGCTTTCATGGACCTGATGAATCGTATTTTCTATCCCTACCTCGATCATTTCGTTATTGTTTTCATTGACGATATTCTTATCTACTCTAAGAGCCAGAAGGAGCACGAGGAGCACCTGAGGGTTGTTCTTGAAACCCTCAGACGAGAAAAGTTGTATGCAAAATTCTCCAAATGCGAGTTTTGGCTCCAGCGAGTAGCTTTTCTGGGTCATGTCATTACTCAGGCAGGTATCGAGGTGGACCTTTCCAAGGTCTCAGCTGTTCAGAACTGGTCGACACTGAAGAGTCCGTCCGAGGTTCGCAGTTTTCTCGATCTAGCTGGCTACTATCGCAGGTTTATCGAGGGCTTTTCCAAGATTGCTCTCCTTTTATCTAAGCTGACGAGAAAGTCTGTGAAGTTCGAGTGGATTGATCATTGTGAGTCGAGCTTTCAGGAGCTCAAGAAGAGATTAACTTCAGCATCGGTGTTGACTATTACCGATCCTTCTCGGAGTTTCACTATTTTCTGCGATGCTTCGAGACAGGGTTTGGGATGTGTACTCATGCAGGATGGCCAGGTTGTTGCTTATGCTTCACGCCAGCTCAAGCCGCACGAACAAAACTATCCGACGCACGACTTGGAGTTAGCCGCAATTGTTCATGCTCTCAAAATTTGGCGACATTATATTTACGACGGTCGATGCGAGATTTTCACCTATCATAAGAGCTTGTAGTATATTTTCACTCAGAAAGAGCTCAACATGAGACAGCGCCATTGGCTAGAGCTCGTCAAGGATTACGATTGCTCGATTCAGTACCATCCGGGAAAGGCGAACGTCGTTGTGGATGCCCTAAGCTGCAAGGTGAGGGGTGACTTGACGTACGTCGTTACTCAGCAGAGCCAGTTGATTCAGGAGTTCGCCCAGATGCAGATTCAGGTGGTTGATGCACTTACCACAGCCAATTCGGGGAGTGTCAGTGCCATGCAGATTCAGCCGACGCTGAGAGAGAGAATCTGGCGGGAGCAGGCTTCTGACGAGTTCGTTCGTGTCATGGATGCCAAAGTCCGCGCCGGAGGCGTCGAGGGTTTTCAGCGAGGTGCCGATGGTGCCTTGGAGTTCAGAGGAAGAATTGTGGTGCCGAAAGTCGAGGCGTTGCGGAAGGAGATATTGACAGAGGCTCATACCGCACCCTACCTAGCCCATCCCGGAAGCACGAAGATGTATCATGACCTGAAAGGGTCATTCTGGTAGCGAGGGATGAAGAAAGACGTTGCCGATTTTTGTCAGGAGATGTTTTACCTGTCAGCAAGTCAAAGGCGAACATAAGAGTCCGATAGGCCTCCTGCAACCATTACTGATTCCGAGGTGGAAGTGGGAGGAAGTCACGATGGATTTTGTCACGGGGTTACCGAGGTCGTTTGAACATCACGATGCTATTTGGGTCGTGGTCGACAGATTGACTAAGGTCGCTCATTTCTTATCAGTTTCGATGAAGATGTCTTTGGATAAGTTGGCTGAGATTTATACCCGTGGGATCGTTCGACTCCACGAAGTGCCTGTTACTATCGTATCGGACAGAGACCCCAGATTCACCAGTAGATTCTGGCAGAGTTTACATGAGGCGATGGGCACGAAGTTAGAGTTCAGTTCAGCCTACCATCCGGAGACTGATGGTCAGTCCGAGCGGACCATTCAGACACTTGAGGATATGTTACGAGCTTTGGTTGTTTACAGGGGTGCTAAGTGGGAGTCGTTGTTGCCGTACATTGAGTTCGCGTACAACAACAGCTATCATTCTTCTATTCAGATGGCTCCTTACGAGGCACTTTACGGTCGTAAGTGTCGTTCCCCTCTTTATTGGGACGACGTTGGAGAGCGTCGAGTACTCGGTCCGAAGATGATCGAGGAGACTGTAGATCAGATCGAGTTGATCCGGCAGAGACTTAAGATAGCTCAGAGTCGATAGAAATCTTCAGCCGATCAGCATCGACGAGATATTCAGTTCGAGGTTGGCGAACCAGCTTTTCTCAGAGTTCGTCCAATTTGCGGAGTTGTTCGATTCGGGAAGAGAAGGAAGCTGCACCCTCGATTCATTGGCCCGTTCGAAGTTCTCGAGCGAGTGGGCGAAGTCGTGTATCGATTAGCCTTACCTCCCGAGCTATCCGGCATTCATAATGTTTTTCGCGCATCTATGTTGTGTAAGTACGTGTGCGACCCCGATCATGTCATTCCCCATACTGATATTCAGATTCAGTCAGACTTATCGTACGAGGAGCGACCGGTATCTGTACTGGACCGTCAGGTTCGTCGGCTCCAGAAGCGAGATGTCCCCCTCGTTCGTATTCAGTGGGATCGCCACGGAGCTACTTGGGAGTCGGAGGCTGACATTCGCGCTCGTTTTCCCGATTTTCAGTTCTGATGTATACACTTTCGTGTTTCATGTACAGATTTCATGTATATTCAGTTATATTTTGAATTTCCGAGGACGGAAATTTTTAAGGAGGGAGGATTGTAATATCCCGTCATGTTAATTATATAAATCATGTATTTAGTTCCGATATAATAATATTGTCGAGTATTATTTTTCGGAAATAATTATTTTCAGTCGAAATTACCCGAAATTATTTTCGATGTCCCGTTTACGTTCGGAAAAATTCGGGAATTAAGTATCATGTTAGCTAATTAATTAAGCATATAGATTATGCTTAATTAATTTTAATCATGCTTATTGCATTAATTACCGTGAGCAATTTTCCCAATTTCATTTCCAAAAACCGTATGCATTTTATCAATAAATGAGGGAGATTTT